GAATTTCACTCTCCTTCCCCGTGCCACCACTGCTACTTTCAGCGCCCACCCAGCCTATTTGAGGAAGGTTTCATTCAACTCAGAATCGCAGCGCAAGCTGTCACTGCGCGCATGCGTCCCGCCGCCCGCGCGTCGCTGCGGTGTCTCAGTGGCGCGGGCTGCCTGGCTGTTTTTTGGTCGACTCGATCGACGGATCAGAACCACCTGCAGCACAAAAAAGACGTAGCTCTGGTTGTCTGTTTCCTACGCAAGACTTTTGTCAGATGTGGGACTATCAAGTTCCCTGTTAAAAGGTTGTAGAAAAAGAGGTTCCTTTGGCGTCCCGTGACCGTTTTTCGACCAAGTCACGACCAAGTGATTAAGCAAAGAAAAACTAGATACGCAATCTGAAAAGCCCAAGAATTGGCCACCTACATAATCACATTTGCTGGCAAGGCCAGCGCCCCTCGCACCTTGCGACGTTCCTTGGGCGAGCGACCTGGGATGAGAAGAAAAGGAGTCAGACTTCCGCGAGGTCAGATCAAGATCAAGTGCAATTGTCATCCATTCCAGTGTTGGGTAACTGCACTATGTGTTGACTATGGGTCACTCACTTTTGTCTTGGTAGGGTTCCCAGGATCTGCAGATCCGTGGCTTAAAAAACAAGGGCGATTGGTACCTCTGGAAAGATCCATGGCGCTCCCTAATTATCAATTAAGGTAATCCTTGGCAGAACCTCCAGCAGGCCCCATCAAACTCCTCACCCCGAATCCACTCATCAGTTTTTGGTGAAAAAGGATTGGGGAAAACTCGAAACAAACATAACAAACAACCACCAAAGTTGATGCTTCCCAATGGATTCCTGACCAAGATTGCTAATCAGAAGATTCGAGAGTGAAGAATTGTAATCTGATATCATCAGATCATTTGGATGATATCTTCCCACGCTTAGTCCTTGGTTTCCTTTTTCCATCCTTTCCTTTCTCACCTTCCGACCCCTTCGCTGCCCCCTCCAGTTACCCACCCCCCCACCCCACCCACAGCATCGCCTGGCTGCGCTTCACCCTCCGGGCCGATGGACCGCTCGCCGCTCTCGGACCTTCCCAGGGCGATGGAGACAGGTCATGAAGGTCGGAGACGGGTCAGCCGACCACCGTGGTTTTGTTGAAGGGAAAACGGAATCAAAAAAAAAACACGGAAACGCGAGCTTTCCGTGTGGAAAGAACAGTAGCCGCATGTGGCAAGTAGGACCTGGTGGGAAAGGTGTGCAGTGCCTTCAAGGTCTTTTCTGTGGTACTTTGGTTTGGGTTGGTTTCTCCATTCTCAGAGGCCCCAACCCTGACAGCCCGCTTTGAGTATCCAATTTCTTGCTGTCCCGATGTTTCAAAGTTACATCAACCCCAGCGGATCGCCCAACCAACCCAACCACGGCCACGATCGCCCCGCTGCGGATCACCTCTCTCCCACCGGTCGCCTTTGAGAGGAGCTCCGTGTCTCGGGCGTCGCCTCCGGTCATGGGACCGGTGAGCAGCGGCTGAACCGCGCGCTGCTAAGAGGTGTTCGGTTGGGGTGGGGCCTTTTGGAACTCTTAGTAAGTTTGTGCTTCTGCTGCATGTTTCCTTGTTCAAAAATGGTTCTCTCATCTTCGAAGTCTGAGTTTTGAAGAAGGCCGGACATTGGTGTACCACCTTTTCCATTAATCTGCCTACTTGAAGTGGAAGGGCATGTATTGAGTCACCCGTGCTTGCAGAAGGTCACCCGGCTGCATGGAAACGCAGCAACACCTTGGAAACTTTTACGGAAGTACGTGTTCAAAAACTGCTGTACATCATCATTGTACATCAAGGATTGCCATTGAAGTGTGTAGCTTTTGGGGGACCAAAACCCAACGAGAACGCAGGTTTAGTCTCATTTTCGGATTACATCATTGCATCCCAACAAACAGGCGAACTGCGGGGGCACACATGGCTACACTGGCGCAAGTACGGCCGCGCAAGTCCCACCCCCCAGTTCCCAATAAGAACTTGAGCAATCCCACAACACCCATAGAGTGCTGGAAGAAGTGCTGGTTCGGTTCTTGAGTCTCCAAATAAACCGATTCTTGATGGAATCCAGCAAATGGTACTATCTTATTCACCTGGTTTGAATATGGTGATGAACTGATACTCCAAAGCTTGGAGAAAGCGTCTTGATGCATCTAACATCATTTAACCTGCATGGAAACGCAGCATCCAGACACCTCTTTACAAGACCAAACAACATCACACAAGTACGGAAGAGTACTCAGGAGGCCCCTGAAGAACCTGAAGAAGTATGAGCAACTTCCGAGGACAGGGATCTGCCGACGACTATGAGCAACCATCTCCCCACACGGTGAAACACTGCGAAAGACTCTCCTCAACACTATCAAATACTCTCCTCAAAAAGACCTGTCCTCCACACTTGTTGCTCAAAAAAGCGGATCTCTTCCATCAGATCCAGACCTTGGAGCTACGCGTCCCAGGCTTCTGCAACTGCCTGGCGGTGGCCGGACATCGGGTCGCACGCACCGTGCAGCGCATGCACCATGCAGAACCTGAACGCCTCACCGAACTCCTCACAACTCGCAGATCGAACGCCGGATGTGCTGCTCGGCCACTCATGAACATGTTCATCCCAAAGCATGTCTTCATCTGAATCATCTGGCCTCTGCAAGCTCAGTGCCATTTCACCTTAATTCAAGGACTGGGTGGCGAAACGCCCTGTGGACCGAAGGATCTGGAGTCGACTGAAGGATCTTCCAGCATCGACTGAATAAGCATCCCGTAGCACAACCCCACAGTGCTGGTCTCTAGCCTTCTCCCAAACAACACAGCCCCCACTTAGCAGAGGAAGACAGTCTTCCACACCCTTCTATTAGTCAATAACAGTGAATATGTTCGTTTGTCGGAATTTTACATCAAGAATCAAGGGCGTCAATTGCCACCGAAAGACGCCAGTAATCCAACTCGGAGCGCAAAGTCTCAAGGCTCTCTTGCCGCACGGAGGGATTTTGCCTGGAGGACCACACGACTATCAACAGCAAGGGTCAATAGTTGGTGGGCCCTCCACCCACAGAACCAGGTGTGTGTTCAGCAACATTCAGTTTCTCCTGTTGCAACAAATTCTCCTGTATCTGCACAAGTTGGAACGATCATGTTACCTGATCAGTTCAACTTGGTCTTCGATGTTGAACGTGCACTGGTCTCTGTACAGCCTAGCTTGATCTTTCCGAAGAAGCCCAAGCAACCTTGGTCGAAACATGTTGAAACCTGGTTTTGGGAAATTCAGCTTCACACGGACCTAAACCATCTAGGCTATAGGGGGATCTTTGGACTGAGGTAGCCAAAGGCCTCCGGATCACATGGTCCCATATCTGCTTGATTCCGCAAAAACTCCATCGAAAAGCTGCGTACTCTCAACTCTTCGCACCCCCACTCTCCAGTCCTACATCGGACAAGACGTGCCAATCATCTGTGGTCCTCATGTGAGTGTGCCCGAGTGTGCCAGCCATGTCTACCCATACTGACTCCAGGTGGAAGGCCTCCTGGAGATGAGCTCCTCCGACTCATCCTCGGCAGCATGAAAAGGGGGCTTCGGCAAGTCCAGTGGCTTTTCTTTGTCCAAACAGCTTCATGTGAATCAAAGATGCTTGCAGTTCCTACTGACAAAAGAATAGGCATGAGAGTAGTGAATACTGGACAACCTTTGGTAAAGGAGCCTCTACAAGCCTTGAGCTGCTACAGTAACTTTCAATCTGCTGTCCCTTCTACCAGGTTGTTTCTTGCACCTGCATTTTTTCTGTGACAAAACCAATTTCGCCAGTCGCCCATTCATTCCACACCTGCCCATCAGCTAAGGGCCAATCACCCCCTCTCCTCACTGCAGCAATGGCCTGTTAGCGCAAGACCTTCTGGAGTCTTTATACAGCATATAATATACCTATATATATATATATGTTATTGTATATACAGTAGAAAGATGTACATGTCATGAGAAAGATTATTGCAAGTGTCCATCTGGATAACATCAACAAGGGCCGAACCCCGAACCCTGATGCTTTTGTGTGTGTGTGTGTTCGATAAGTCTAATTGATCGTTTCCATCACCTTCTACTTCGTCCAACTTATAGCTTGCAGATCCCGATACTATGATCTGTTTTACTATATATACTTCTTGAAATCAAACACTCGTGGTAGTTGGTCCCACACGCTCCCACGTCGGTGCGGTCTGGTCTGACGCTTTCCTGCCCAGGTCTGGTCTACGTTCATGCGGCTTTCACGAAGGTCTCATGCGGCTTTCACAGTCCAACGTGCCTCCCGCGCATTGGTGGCTGCCTGCTTTGCCATAGCTTGCGCCGCAGGTTGCTCTCCCAACATCTCCTCAGAAGTGAGGCAGCCTACATCACCGGTCATCTTGCTGACTGGAAAAAGATTCCTCCACCCTGTTTCACAGAATTCAAACTGTGTCCGACATGCAGAAATGTTGAGATGAAGCATACTGGCATACTGAATGAAACTCTGGACAACCCTGTCCGCCCCGCCCTGTTTTTGGTTCCTGCAGAAACTGTTCTTGATCACATCACCCGATGTCTGGAGACCACGCCAAGCAGAAGGGGGAGTAGGAGCAAGGACGCTACTAGTAGGAAAGGGCATCGCTTCTAGTAACAAGTGCCTTACTAGTAGGAACAAGAAGCTAGTAGAAACAAGTGCATCGCTTCTAGTAGCAAGTGCCTTCCTAGTAGTAACAAGAAGCTAGTAGAAACAAGAAGCTAAATTAGAATCTAATTAGAATCAAAAACAGATCAAAACCTTATCCCAAGTTGGCCTATGCCCAACCACACACAGCACTCTGGGTGTGTTTGTCACACAAATTTCAAGCAGCGAAACATGTCACTGGGATTTCTCGGAAAGCTGATACGGGAAATGAATCCCTTTGCCAAAGGACTCTTGGGATCTTTGGCGTATCTCAAAATGAGTGGAACGCAAGCAAGGGTTCGATTGGTCCCGGTCTAGTCTCCAAAGCTTCCGGGAACCTTTTTTTGAGACTCTCTCTCTCTGGTTCGGTTCACTGGCTGGCAGGATCCCAGCTAACAAGCACATGTCTTGATCAAAATCAAGGAATTCTGGTTGACAAATAGAGACTGCACAAGTTCCTCACTGCACATTCCTGCGTGTTGTTGCAGGGAGACACTGAGCAGTCTCTGTGCACACACTCAATCAGCAAGTTCTCCACCTCTGCGACCATTTGCAAACATCAGCAAGGACGGCCATGCACCTGAATTGTCCTGCCGACAGGCCCAACGGAAGTCGCTGGGGAAAGGACAGTCTCCTGTTTGAGTTCGAGGATAGGGTGAACATCAAGGAACTCACAAGTCAAACAAATCACGCTTCCTGATGTGTTTCTTCCCAACAAGAGGGGTGCCGATTTAAGGGACACTTTCTTCATGGTGCTACAATCTCTTGGAGTATGACAGGCGCCGCATTCCTTTTGGTAGCAGCCCTTTTCCTTCACATATCCAAACGCCAAACACTCTGACGGACAAAGAGTATCCGAAGAAAACCTCGTGGTGTCAGTCCGGCGCCCCGAAACCTTTTCTGACAAGGGAATGTCTTCATCAGCATCAACAAACCAAGGTAAACAAACAACAAGAACAACCACAACATGGCAAGTCCTTAATCACCTCAGCATCTGCCTCCAGCAAAATCCGCACCTTACTTCGTCGATTGTTTGGAGCGGTCGGGCGCTTTGAGTCTTTAAGTGGCAACCCAACATGGACCAAAGCAAAACATCCTTCACTACACAACGTCACAAAACCATACAAAACCCAACTTCCACCTCTCTTCACCTCACTTTATGACGCTTTGACGAATTCTCACCACTTCTCAAACCTCGCCCAGTGGCCACGCTGGAACTCCCCCGCTCAGCCGCCATGTGCAAGGGCGTTTGCCCCTGCGGGCCCAGCAAATTCACAGCGGCGCCCGCGCGGACGAGGTAAGAGACCAGGTCCACACGCTGAAGCTGGGTGGCTTCGAGCAACGGACTGGTGCCGTAGAGGTCCAAGCGGTTCACACTGGCACCATGGGAAACCTGCCCGGACGGGAGGAGAGCACACCCAGGGGTCCACGTCGGGGGAGGGGAAGTGAGTGGGTCAAGGCGCAAAGGATCCCTTCAAGAGTGACTCGAGGGGATACGTGGGGAGGAAAGTCAACACGAAGGGTTCATGTCCGTTTAGTAAGGCCTTTTACTATAGCATAACAATGAGCACCTAAACCATGCCGTATGCCCGTCAATATGATTCATCAAGTAGTATATAATCAATACACTAATTAATACTACTGAAGAGGGATGAACACTCTCGTGTGGTCAAATTTCAAGGCGAGAGGCCAGTAGCTCCACCATTTCCAGGTCGCCCTGTCGACATGCCTCCTGCAACGGAGTGACCCAAGCGTCATCGCAGCAGTTCACATCTGCTGAGGACTGCAAGAGATCACGTGTCAACTCGAGATTGCCCTCTATGATCGCCTCCTTGTCACAACGGAAGGTCTTGTTGCCAGTTTTGGAGTGAATTGTCAAAAAGCATGCTGCTGCCCTGAGGGCATTGTCAACAAAGTTGGGTCCTTCTGTCCCTTTGCCAAGAAGGAGTTGCTTACAACCGGAGACAAACCACCCAAAAATGCAGCTTATGTGAGGAAATCGCACAAATCCTACTTCATCTTCCAAAACCAAGCTTCTTGTAAAGCGTCGGCTCTGCAGTTCTCATTGCGCAAGTGACACCCCATGATCTTCCCCATCTCTGGCACCTGTGGTCGTGCTGCGCTCTTCGGTAGAGAGTCGAATGTTCCACTTCCCAAGCAAGCAAAGTTCTTCGTCCTGTGCTGCCGGCACTCCTCCTCGTGCTCTTCCCCATGGTCCGTATGTTCCAAAGCAGCCACCCCATCCCACCTGAGTTCCTGAACTTCCCCATCCTGCTGATCCTCAGAATCCACGGAGTCCACAAGCTTCAGGGAGTCGGTCTGGTTCTTCGAATGGACCAGTGCACTGAGGCAACCCAGGCACCAAGTCAGGTGATGCGCCATCAGACAAAGCAGACTGGATGAGATGTTCTCATGGTGTCCTCGGAAATACTCGAGCCGAGTAAGTTGCAGGTGATGTATGGTCAGTGTTGTTGGCACAGTTGGCACCGAAAAACACGTGCATGATCGTGCATGCGTCATTCCTTCGTTTCGACACATGCTTCAAGAAGGGCACGAGCCGCTCAAAGCTGTTCAAACAGTTTGTCCAAACACTTGACTCGACTACCAACTTCCAGACACAAAGCCATGAAAACATGTGAGATTCCTATGACAATGGTAACTGTTCTATCTTGATCTCTAAACGTAGAGATCATGACTTCGATTCATTCTGATTCCAAACTCGTAGGGCCAGCAAGCATTCAGAACTCGTTTCTCACCAAAACTGAGCCTTCCCGCTAAGAAGGGGCCAGTCCAAAAATCGATCTGCTGCTTCTGCTGGCGAACGAACAGGGTCCGCAAAGACTCACATTCACCTCAGTGGAGTCGACATTTGCCGAAGGAGGGTCGAGGAAGGTCGAGGAAGGTGGCTCAACATGATGTATGTAGACTCTTGATTAACAAAACACCATAAAACCATCCCCATTTGGATTGTAAAAGCTCTTATATATGGAAGTTTGTTTGATCAAGAATCAAGAGTCAACCAAGAGTCTACAATTCTGGGCAATTACTCAAGGTACTCGCATATCGATGCATATCGGAAGCCTTGCTTCAACATTGTTCTAGCCAAGAGTCAAAGATGAAAACACAATTCGCACGTGTTTCTGGACTCAGCCTCGGACGTTTCAAGGACTGGTTGTCATTGGAGAGCTCCTCGTGGGCTCGTTCCACCTCGCCGGGCCAAGAGTCCAACGACGGGCTCGTCGACGTGTTCGTGCATTTGGTCTCGGTGAGTCGGTGGGCCACTTTGTTGCGGTCGGCATTTCGGGCATCGCTACGAACGGAGCGATCGGACGCCTGTGTTTTTTTCGGACATTCTCGTTACCCTATGTTACCCTTTGCATTCAGCATGGCAGCCGGAATGGCATTCCTATAGCTTTTCCCCCTGGCACTTGCTTTCAAGTCTTGAAAACCTATCACAACGGTGTTCGTTGGCGAATTCAGTCTGCGTTTCATGTCCACAGTGCCCAGAACGACGAATTCCCTGTCGCTCCGCCTCCTGCCGCAGGCGCTCGTAGCGCCGCCGCTCGCTTCGGTCTTTCCTCGCCGCTCGCTTCGGTCGGGGCGTCTCTTCGACATAGGGTGAAGAATGGTCTGAACGGTGTAGCTCCAAGGTGAGCGGAAGGATCACTCACCGATATATGACTCTAATTATACCTGATATAGTTTTCCTTGATCAAGGAGCTATATGGACTTGTCACTGGACTTGTCACTGTCATATGGACTTTGCCATCCAGCTCCCTTGGATTGTACCAGCACTCTGTGGAGTTGCTCTGGACCTATTTCATGCATCAGATTTGCCATCTGGTCGTTGACCACCCGTATTGGCAAAATAACTCCTTCAAAAACATGGTGACTTGAATGGTGCGGCCCCCTTCAATTGCACCCAAGTCAACACGGACGTCGCGGACCTCGCGCACACGTCCTGGATTTTCGGGATGGGACTCGTTCCTCTTTTCGGCCGATGGAGGGAGGATGTTCTGCGCCCACCGAACGGTGCGGCCAAAAACGCGGTGGAGTGCTACAACCAACGGTGGACCGGGGGAAGACCGGGGATCCGGATCCGATAGGACCCGAATCATCCAGCTGTCCTGTGGTCAATCAGTTCCGGTCTCAAACCAACCCCACCATCCAGTAGGGGTCAATCCTTTGGACCCCAACCTGGGTCAAAACGGCTTGGTTGCCAGATGTGGCAAGCACTGTTCCCCACATCCCCCGAGAAAGGCCAGGCCTGTCTACGCCTGTCTATGCGATCGCAGCGCAATATGCACTAGCACGCGCGCGATCATGAAAGCTAAAAACTGATAGGACGAAGACCCTGCCCCAGTCTCTGTCCTTTGAAGATGTCCAGTGTCTTCGACCTGGACAAAAGATCTCCAAAACAAGCCACCCACTCGCCCCCCCGTCGTCCGCGATCGTTTTCTTAGCAGGAGAAGACGGAGAACATCGGTGAAGTGAGTCACCATTATGTCGGTATGTCGGTATGTCTGGATGTAGGGAAGAAACTCCCAAGTCATTGATTCGATGTTCTCAACTACTGATGTCCGAGCTTGGGAACAATCGAGGGATGCCAGGTACGATAGAATCACCAAAAGTTGTTCACTTTGGGGGTATCCCTTCTATTCATCAACCAACCAATTGCAAAAGGCCGTCAATGTTCTCAACAATACCTTAGAAATCAGTGCTTGCTTTGTGCTTTGTTGGCCGGGAGGATTTGATGAATGTTGTGGTCCTTGACTTAAGGTCTAAAACTTTGCAGCATCCAGGTCACAGGGCAACACAATTTGCAACCACAGGGCGATCCAAATGGTGCTTTTTTTTGTTGCCTTTGACACACTTGCTGGACCCTGTAGAAGAATGCAGCTCAACCTCGTCCTCCAACCTTCAAAACACATGTTTCTCTGAGGCCCAACCTTACGTCCGACTCAAGACGGAGGTGACCGATGGCAAATGGCCGAAAACTCACATGGACAACACTCAAACACCACTGCTTTGCAGAGGTTTGCATTTGATGAAAGGTCTGACCCGGGCCTCGGGTATGCTAGGGTCTGTTGTCAAATGCTAGCTTTAAGAGTTGCTTCTCCAAAGGCCAGGAAGGACCGTCTCAGGACCAACTGGGAGCCCCCGACACCAAGTGTGAGTGCCTCTTCCTGAAGGCCGCCGGCACTCCAGGGACCGCCCAAACAGAGTCGCCCATCTAACCCCCATCCACGTCTCTATGTACGTCCCATCCGCCAAGCAAGTCGCGGGCGTCTCTATGGTCAACTTCTTTCTCTTTTGACCAGCAAGTATTGTTGTGACCTCCTCTCATTTTGAGACCATTCATCATCCTTCTTCCAGTGTTTCACGAGCAGCCATCGAGTTCAGCTGTGGAGTTAGTGTTGTCGCAAAAGAACAAGGATCCAACAGACTCCAGGGCAAATGAACAGCCAAACAGCCCTTCACCTATCTTCACCTCCTTCGCCCTGGCTAGGTTGAAAAGGATTCCATCGGAGTGTCAAAAACAGAAAGCCAAAGAAAGAAACTGATGCCCGGTCCCGCAAAGTTTGTTGGAACTTCTCATCTGATCTGTGACACTATGAGTCTATGAGGTGCTTTTTCCGAAATTCCTTGTGCAATTTTCAGGGCAACCCAGGGACCCAAACTGAGCCCTTGGAACCCTGGCCAGAGCCATACCTGACGTCTCTTCCTCTCTTGCAGGTCCTCCATTCCAGGCATTCCGAAGGTCGGGCGCCTGCTACTAGACCTTGCTCAGGCAAATGCCATTCCAACAATTCAGATTCAGAGCAAACTGGTGACTTTCTCGGGGAAGTTGATGAGAAGATTTCCAAGCTGCAGAACCAGGGTGGATTGTTGAGAGGAGAGCGATCAACAAGTTAGCTTAAACATGCTTAAACACCCTGCGGCACCAGCCACCAACGATGCTCCATCCGAGTTCCATGGCTCTATGGCTACATGCTCAACTTGCAGGGTTTCTGATGGAAGAACCGGAGGCGTGAACCATTCCGGGTCCGGTGTGTTTCAGGGAAGATTCCCCAGTGTCATTTGGCATCACCCGATTTTAATACACACCCATGTTACAATCAACATGATCGACCATTGATCAATGATCACTGGCATAGAGAGAAAGCGATTCATCAGCATCCTTGCAATCCTATGCAATCCTTCAGATGCATCTGGAACCAACAAACCCACTACGCATCACTACTCCAGTCGTTTCTGCTCATGAGGGGATGTCTCCGTGACCGTGAAAACCTCGGGGACCAACCGCAAAACGATGCAAAACTGACGTCTTTGTGGATGGGCCTCTAATTCCATCGGTGGCATACGGCGGAGCTCTTCTTTCCAGTATCAAACATGGGGTGTTGAAGTGAATTACAGTAGGTTTTTTGTCCGATGACTTTCAGAGAGTTTCACTTCGATGGCACAAACTCCGACCATTGCACAATCCGCCTTGGCCGCGCAAAACCAAAAGAAGCCCGGAATGGGTCTGTGCATATCTGTGCATGTCCGGTTCCATGTGATTCTGGTCAGCCTGCCTTGGAGTCCGATTCTGAGCCATATGAGGTGCCCCTGCGGTTCGCTGTGCGGGTGCGGTCCGCTGTGCGGGTGTCCGCTGATCGGGTGTCTGAAGCGGAGAGGCGGGTTGGAGGTCTCCCCCCGCTGCAGATTGGAGGTCTTGAACGGTTCTGTCAGGAATGCAGCTGATGAATTTCGGGGAAACCATGGGAAACATGAAATATCTGGGAAATGTGTCCTGTGAAATAAATGACCAAAGTTAAAGCCTCCAAACAGAGTGTAGAGCGATGATGGGACTTGGACTTGGTCATCAACCAGAAAGTTTGCTTTGCTGAATTTCAGTGACCATGGGCTGCAGCAAGACAAGCCTGCTGTGCGAATATACTGGTAGGCTTGTAAGACCAGCATTCCGACTGATGGTACAGACCAGCCACTTGAACTCCCTTCAAAACAACATGGGTCTTCACCTAATAAGTTGCTTAGGTGGAGCACAACAAAATAAAGTGCGCATTCTCGAATTCCTTACAGATTGCTTACCTAACAACATGCCTCCACCCTTGCCTCCACCCATGCCTCCACCCATGCCTCCACCAGCCCTACCACCACGTCTTGGAATTCGTCCCCAAACCCGGCCCAGGACTGGCCAGGCTAGGCCAGGTTGGGCCTGAGGGACTGAAGTTGACCCGCGCTTCAGCCTCAGGACATGATGAGACACTTCAATCAGCATGTGCAGGCGCGTGTTTTTTGCTCGTGTGGACGGCACCGGGGCCCGGGCTACATGGCTGGGACTCACAGGGATAAACTGGCTCTTGCGCTGGCTGTGGATGGCCTTGCTGTCCTGAGGATGGACATGAAAAAGTAAGGGAAAGAGAAATTGAAATAGGAAGTAGCTTCGGACAATTGACATGGCAAACTATAGCGTGACGTTCCTTCGATAGGTGGGTTGCTACGTCCAGAGGCCCTTTTCTTTGTACACCTTTGGTG